CGTGAATGGGGCGTTGAGGCAATAACTTATCTGGTTAAATCAGCGTTGCAATTCAAGCACAAGCAGCCGCTCAAAGAGAATTTGGTAGGTGGAACTACTATAAATCAAATTATTGTATATTAATTTATATTCCTACACTCATAGGAATTGCAAACGATGTTGCTAAGTCCACTCTCTGAGCTGTCCACTGTTATGCATGCGGATGTACGTCAGCGCCAATTGGATTGCGTGCTCCAGATTCTGAATACAGCTGGAGAGATATTGTCGTTTGGCTGGCCTGCTATAATCGAGATAATTGGCGCTGTTAATGACCACCACGGAGAGCCGCTGATACGCACTGCTTTCCAATGCCTGCAGCTCGTCATTACCGATTTTCTGACGGTCATGCCTTGGCGTTGTCTGCCTCTATGCATCAGTACAGCAGCAAAATTTGGTTCCCAGACACAGGAGCTAAATATTTCATTGACGGCCATTGGACTCATGGTAAGGGATTGGGGTCCTAGTCATTGGATTACTTATTGATTTGCCGTTATTTTGCAGTGGAATATCTCCGACTTTTTCAATCAAAACCAGGATAAATTGATGTCTACACAGCTTGAGGATGTGGCCATACTGCCGGACTTTCCAGGCACCCTGAAAATGCCACAGTTTGACAAACTGTGGATGTGCCTGTACGCCAAGCTGGGTGAGCTGTGCGTCGATTTACGGCCAGCGGTGCGCAAGTCAGCGGGTCAGACACTGTTCTCCACAATTGCGGCGCATGGTTCTCTGCTTAACCCACCCACCTGGCAGGCTTTGGTGTGGCAGGTGCTCTTCCCATTGCTGGACAACGTGCGTGCTCTAAGCAGCTCGGCCAGCAACGAGAAGGTGGACGCCAGTGGCAATATACTGATACACCATTCGCGTAACACCGCCCAAAAGCAGTGGGCCGAAACGCAGGTTTTAACCCTGTCTGGCGTTTGTCGGGTGTTCAACACTAAACGTGAGCTGCTTCAAGTGCTGGGGGATTTCGAACGTGCTTGGTCGCTAATACTGGAGTTCATTCAAAATGCGGCGCTGAGCAAGAATGGTGAAGTTTCTCTGGCGGCACTCAAGTCGCTGCAGGAAATTATGTACCATAACAGCACGGACCGTGGCCTCAAGGAGGGTCAGTCTGCACGGCAGCAGGATGAAGAGATCTGGAATGTATGTCGGGCTAGAAGATAGAAGATATTTCTGTAACCTACTTAATGTACATATATATTTAACAGATTGCCTGGAACATATGGCTGAGCATTGGCATGGAGAGCACTAAAATGTCAGCGACTTCAAGATATCTGCCCGGCGTGGGTGGCAGCGGCGATAGCCAGGAGGACTTTTACATACCAAGTCAGGCATTTCTCACGGCACTTATACAAATATTTCCCGCTATCTTTCAGCACATTCAAAGCAGGTGAGTTAAATGGATTACGTACTACTTGGAAGACTTACCTCATTCGTTACTAACTTTAGATTCAGCGCATCGGACTTTGACAAGTTCTGCACCGTGCTGACCAATGCTGTCTGCATACCCGTCCAAACGGATGCCGTTCCTTACATCATGTCCACTGTGTCGGACACTTTGCTGACCCCGCTGCATGATGGCATACTGGAGTGCATGGACCTGATACAAAAGGAAGCCATTAGGCAGGATGTGGAGTCTGACTCGAGCATACGCCAATTGATACCCGCCATCTTTCGTCAGCTGCTGATTTTCAGCAAATTCGCCTGTGCGCCGCCCACGTTTCAGCAGAATGTGGAGCACAACAAATATGGAAAATCGGCCAATCTTTATGCGAATAATGCCTCTGTCGAGGTGGTCAGCATGAATTATATACCGTTTGGCGAAAAATCCATTAGCATTTGTGTGAAGCTATACCAAAGTACAGCCACCGAGGAGTCGGTGGTGCAGGAGCAGATATTGCATGACATTGTCAAGGCCCTGCGCACTCCGTTGGCCATGAAGTACAAGTGTCTATCCTCGAGTACCTGGAAGCTGGCCATATCCAGCTTGATAAGCGTATTGCACACTGGCTTAAAAGTGGCGCGCGCTAAGCCGCAACATTTTGCCAGCCTGTGGGACGACTTGGCCGATACACTTGACAAATTTCTATTTCCGGTCAATGTGTGCACCATCGAGGATCGTGGTCTCGAGGAGATTGTGCTCGATGAGACCATAGATTGTCAGGTGATTGAGCTGCTGCGCGATGAGGTATTGCCCTTTGCACACGAGATGCCGCATCAGTTCATCATGCAAATTGTGGTGTTGTTGAACAAAGGCTCCATTCACTCGGCTTCGGATAGCAACATTTGCTACGAATCGGACTGGAAGCTCCGCGAAATCTTTGCCAAAACCTGTTTCGAGACGCTGCTGCAATTTTCGCTGCTAGAGGATCAGGCCACGGCTACAGCAACCAACAATAATCGTCTAAATGCCAATTTATTGAGTACTGGTGCCCCAGGAGCGGTTAATAAGGACTTTGCTGGGCGACTGGCTGTGACGGCGCTGCTTCATCGTTTTCAAGAGGTGCTCAAGCGCTTTAATGACGATGAACGCCAAAGCGGAAAGTGCCCGCTGCCCAGGTAAATTTTAGATTAGATAAACTTGTACTCGGAGTTGATAATCTTTTCCTATTTTTCAGATTTCGCCTTTCGGAAATTTCCTTTGTGCTAAAAGCTATTGCAACGCTCGTTGTGTCCATGAAGAAAGCGCCAGCATCCAAAGGTATATGCCATAAATTAATCTAACTTAACTGTATTTCAGCTTAAATTTTCATTTTATCCAGTTAATAAGCCCGCCTGGGATTTACTGATCGGCCTGTATCCCTATTTGGTGGACTGTACCACAACAACATCGCCCGAGGTATCCCGTTCGCTGCGAGAGGCTTTGCTGCAGTACACGGACCTACTGCAGGCGCCCAACTACGTCAAGGACAATGCGAATCAATCAAATGGACAGCCATGAAGCAGAATGAAGTGAATTGAATCGTTTTTAGTTTAGGTCAATGTCCTTTTGAGTATATTAATATATTGCTGATTATATTTTACATAATATTATATATATTTATTTTAACTGTGCATAATTTAAAACACAAAAATATGTTATATTTGGTATATATACTTATGTGACCACTTTCCATACCTAAGTCCTTATAAATTTGTAAAAGTATTGTAGTCGAAACTAAGTATATTATATTATATATGCGCAGTAAAAAGCTGTCAAGAGCTTAGCAGCTTGATAGCATAAGATGCCCCTACAAAACTGGTTGGCCAACTAATGCAGCAACCTTATCTCGCACCAAAAAAGCAAATATTTCTTTAGTACCTTGGTAAAACGCTGTTTAATATGATATGATATGACATACATATACATGAATACTTATATTATTTGGTAACTAAACATTGAGCTATGCGAGTAACGAAATTTTTAAAAGAAAACCTACCTAGAAATACAAATAGACTTGCGTGTTATCTGAATCAAATATTAACACTTAATCAGCAACAACTTTGTAGAGACGTTTTTAAATAAAGCAACTATTATTATTATATAATCATATTTTTCATAATAAATTTCTTTTTACAACACTTCCAGCAATTGTAAGATATCAAAACCTTGAAATGCGGAATAAAATATTGCCATATGACGACATATGGAAAAAATGTTTACTGAGAAATCTTACGAATTATTTCTTACTTTAAATTTAAAAAAATCTGCAAAAAAAAGGATCGAGTTTAGAATTCTGCGAACCACAGTTGAGATCTATAAAATGTGTATCTGTTTTCTGTGTTATTTAACTGCATATAATTAAATCAATCAAATTATGATCTTAGAAAATTATACAATAAATAATTCGTACTGAGTTGTTTGTTTTCATGGGACTACATTAGATATTCAATCATCACAGTGTTGAGAAAGTAGAAAAAGATCTGGATTTTAATAAGGTGTACTGCTTACCTCTTGAGCTGTAAAGTGCTGGGGAAACATTTGTCGAGTGCAAAAGATTTTAATCTAAATAAAATTTTTATTTTAATTTGTTTTGTTTTCATTTTAATCGGTATAATAAGTATAATAACATTTTTGTTGTTCTTGTTTTTTGTTTTCAATTATTATTATTTTACCTGTTAATATTAATTATTTTTTTATATAGTTTTTTTCCATTGTTTTTGTTTTAATATTAGAATTAGGCAATCGAGTTAATACTACCTTCGTTTTAAATATTATGCAACGAATTGGGTTTTTGTTTTTAGTTTTATAATTATGAATTTTTTAAATGTATATTTAATAAACTCATTTCCGTTCTGGCTTGTATTTTATATTTTTAAATTTATTTATATATTTCTTATTTTTCTTTATATTTTGCTGTGCTTTTCAACTCATTTGTTTTTGCTTCTTTTTTTTCTTTCTTTCGTTTTAGTTTATTATTATTTTATTTATTTTTTTTTTTTTCATTTTTTAGATTTAAGTTTTATGCCGTGGGCGCTAAATTTACAGTTGCCTTGTAAAAATTTACAATTCAAGCGCATGCTTTTAAAATATTTGTTTATTTTAAATGTTACAATTACTAATTTAGTTTCTGTTAGCTGAAAGTCGCAATCACCTTAACAAATAGCTGCATATATATATTCTTTAATATATATATGTATATATTATTTTTAATTTAATTAACCTTGTTTTCTTATTTTCTTATTAATTTAGAGTTATCTTCTGTTTTAATTTTAATAAGTTAATTTTTTTTTTTGTGTTATGGGGAGGTTTACTTAGATATAATACAATTGTTGTTATTATGGGATTGCAATTTGATTTTATTTAGACTTAGGTATAAATCTTTGCAGTTGATGCTTCCTCTGTTTAAATTTGAATGTGTGTGTGTATGCATGCGTACATTTGACAATTTTACGCATTACATATACAAAACTTTATACTGTTTATATACATAAGCGGCATACCTTTTTTCTTGAATTTTGTTTAACCAAATTTGAAGCCTGTTGCTTTGTGTGTATATGTATGTGTAGATATTTATGTATGTATATGTATATTTGTTATATACGTATGTATATTAGAAAGAGAGAAGTTTCGTTAGGCGTTTATGTATTTGTTTTTTATTTTATTTAGTTTTTAAGTAGATGAAGTTGTAAAATGTTTAAACTTCTTTTGTGTTTGTTGCGAAATGTTTTTGATGTATTTTTGTTTGTTTATTTTTTGGTTTGCAATTTGTGTAAACACTTTACATTAAATTACTTAACTAAATAGCCATACAAAATGTCGTGTTGTGGGTTACATATATACTAATTTTTTGTTTATATATATATATATATATATATATATATATATATATATATATATTCGATTCAGAGGTTTATTAGAGACTAAAAATAACATAAGCATATACGCT